CCCAAACCCCCATCCCATCTCCCACTCAGCACTCCAGTTCCTATACATTCAAGAAAGGATCTGCTATTATTTGTATCTCCTTACATTTTAATGGAACGTGGTTAATTTGCCTCATTAATTGTCAGGGAACAGAAAAATAAAGTATCCAGTGCTAGAGAAATTTTCAAGAGGGAGAAGTGTTTCCCAAAGTCCCAGGATGACTGCCCACACCTTTCGTGAGGCACTGGGACAGAATAAGCAAGAGCTGTTGTTAGGAGCCACCATTCAACTCCTGAGCTTATCCTTTCCCAGTCGAGTGACTCAGCATCTCCAGCTACAATTTCCTGGTACAGATGAAAAGAGGTGATAATAATAACAGTGATAATAACACAGATCTATTCATCTAGGAAGTGCTTGTCAGAGATTGCTTTGTGCTGGAGCTCTTCTAGGCCTGGAAAACAATACAGATAGGATCCCTGTCCTCAGGGAGCTCACATTCTATAGGGAAGACAGACACCGAAGAAGATAATTCAAGCAAAAGAAATAATAATGATAAGATAGGAAAGGGGGATAGGAAGGTGGGCAAGGTGGAATTGAAACTTGAAAGAAACTGACCTGGGAAATATCACTGAGAGACAGAGGGAACATATATGTCATATGCATATGAATACATATGCATATGTCTGAGAAAAGAAAATTCTAGGCAGAGAGAATGACAGCTCTTAAAACCGGGAAGTGAGCGTTAATTGTTCTCATTTTGTTTGCCTCACTGAGTGCCCGTTATATGACAGGCCTTCTCATGGGCACTCAGTAAATTAATGAAAGGATATGACAGAGACCTTTTTTTTTGTCAGTGGGTAATTATAATTTTATCCCAACAATAGCCATCTAAGTAGTAAACCAAATGTACCTTGAGAGGTGAGCAGTAGAGGGTATGACGGTTGGAAAGGCCACATGCCAGTGTGTGACCACACTGCTCAGGAATTGCTTGCCATTATTTGGCTGTAGTTGGGGTAATCGTGTGGATCTTACTGATATTTCTGCATTGGCCATTGCAGGAAGGAGCTCTCTGGATATTTCAGAGAAAGCCTTCATTTTTTCCTCTCATTTTGCAACAAGAATGTTCCACCCAAGAGCCTAAGGTCTATGCCCAATTCATGACCCTATACTTTAGGCACAAAACCCCAGAAGTCTCTAGAAGAAAGGAATTTATTCCCTAGAGGAGTACCCTGGCTTTCTCTCAGTATCTGCTTCCCCACATGCCCACAGATTGCCATGAGTCCTGCCACTCCTGCTCGTCTTACAGCGTCTGCACAAGCTGCCAGGAAGGCCTGAGGTTGAACAGCCATGGGGCCTGTGTGGCTCACAAGGAATGTGCCCCCATCGAGTACTGGGATGAGACAGCGCACAGGTGCAAGCCCTGTCACCATAAATGCTTCCACTGCACAGGACCCGCAGAGGACCAGTGTCGCACCTGCAGGGGGGACAACCTTCTTCTCAGTGAGTGACTTCCCTCCACTCCCAGAGGCCTTTTTCTCTCCCTCTGGGGAAACTACCTGGCACCATGCTGGGTGCCCAGTGGACATTGGCTTCTTTCTAATTTTTTTTTCTTTAACTTTTGTTTGGGAAATTTTCAAATCTACAGAAAAGATACAAGAATGAGAATACTACAAAAAAAAAAAAAAGAGAGAGAGAGAGAATACTACAAAGAACATCATATATACATCTTTTACCCAGTTCACCCACTGCAAATCTTTCCCCCCTTTGCTTATTATTTCCTCTCCTCCGTGTGTGTGTGTGTGTGTGTGTGTGTGTGTGTGTGTGTGTGTGTGTAGGGATATATTATCCATACACACTTTTTCTGAACCATTTCGAGGGTAAGTTACCTACAAGGACAGTTTTTTCTTTTTATATTTCCTAAGCATATAGATACTTTCTTATCTAATCACAGGACAGTTGCCAACTCTAATAAATTTACATTTATACAGTACTTTACTATTTCTATTAAAATATTTCCAACACCCCTTTATAACAGAACTTGTTCCAGAATCAGGCATTGCATTTCGCTTCCAAGTCGCCTTATCTTCCTTTACTCTGGAATGCTTCCACAGACTGTCTTTGTATTTTATAATATTGATATTCCAGAAAAATACAGCTCCTATTCCTCCTCTTGAGTTGGTGTGCAGTTTCCCCATGATTAGACTGAGAGGATTCTTTCTCAGTCAGAATAGGTGATGTCCTGCCATCTGAGAATCATATCCAGATACATATGATATCCACTTGCCCCTCATAGGTGATGTTAATTAACACTGACCATCTGTCTAGACGTTTATTTTCTCTACTGCATAACTACTATTGATTCCCTTGTAATTAATGAGCAGTCTGTGGAGAGAATGCATTAAGAACACGTAGGCATTCAACTCCTCATCAAAATTTCCCCCTTGATTTATCATCCATTAATAAATCCTGAACAATGTGTGGTGCAATCCCAGGTGGGCTGCCTCCAGATCAGCTCTGAAGGTGATTGCTGGTATGAGGCTGTGTTCTCAGGTTTCCTGGATGCCATGATTAGACTAAATACAAGCCCGGAGGAGCTACACTTAAAGAAGGAGTTGGAGTGGCGAGAAGAAAGAGACAAAGAGAAAGACAAAGAGAAGATTAGAAAGTGTTGGACTTGTCTTCCCAGTCAGTAGAGTAGACCTGAGAAGTGAGGTACTCAAAGCTCACATAGAGAGCAAGGTTTTCCACTTCTTGCTGAGATGTCACCTTCCAGGGCAGTGTTCTCCTACTAAGACACAGGCACATCTATGCTCAGTACCAATCCCGACCACCTGACCATAAAGACACTAAAGTCACCAGTCTTTTCAACCCATTCATCTTAGTTCCCGTTGCACAAAGCTCAGTAAATTTCTTCCCCAGCCATTGTTTCTTCATGAAAATATCTCATCCCACCAGATCTCCCATATAATCAACCATTTTGACTTTCTTTTCTAATTACCTCTAATCTGCAGTGCCACTGGTGAGTCTGTCAGATGCCTTCACAGACAGTGGTCTTTCTTTTAACTGGGGATATAGATTAAGCAAGAACTGAGCCTTCAGTACTGGTGCATAACAAAAGAGATGTCCCCAAAATACAGTTTTGGGGACATCCACAGCTGAGGACAGGAGTTGGCCAGGCCTGACCTTCTCACACTCGCCCATCCCACCCCACTCCACACACCACCAGGATCAGGCTATTGTAAACTACGTGGTTATTTGGAGGATGGGGTAGATTGCCTGATGCTGCCCCTGAAGATGGCAATCCTAATCCCCAGATCCTGTAAATACATTGTCTTCCAAGGTAGAAGGAACTTTGTAGCTGAGATTTAATGAAGGCTCTTGGCATGGGGAAATTCTCCTGTGTTCCCAGATAGGCCCAGTATAATCACAAAGGCTAGTAGAGAAATGCAGGAGGATCAGAGTTCCTAGTATAATGCAATTAATGACAGAAGCAGAGGAGTAGGGGGAAAGATGCCGCCTTCAAAGATGGAGGAGAAGCCCAGGAGCCCAGGACTACAGGAACTCTCCAGAAGGTGGAAAAGCCAAGAAGCTCTTTCTACTCTAGAACCTCTAAAAGGAACTCAGCCCTGAGGATGCAGTTCAGATTACTGGCCTCCATAAGAGTAAGATAATACATTTGTGTTGTTTTCAGACATCAAATAGGTGGTAATTTATTACTGCAGCAATAGGATATAGTACAAATACCTTCTTTAGGGGATTTGGGCTTCCCCTTGTTAACAGTATATACCAGCTGGACAATGAACCATTGTCACATCTATAGTCATAAAACTGGGGTTTCGGTTCTACCAACACAGACCACTCTGACCTCTGATTTCTCTGAACCCCTGTAGCCTTTTGGTCAACTCTATTTCTTGGACATTCATCTTCGCTCCAAAGTGTCTCCAGCACAGCCCACAGGGGCACTGTCTTTTTCCCCTTGCACTTCCTCTCCCTCTTTCCAGGCAAGAGGAGGCGTGGGAGCCACAATCGGGCTTGATTCCAAACACTCTTCTCCTCCCTTGACAGACACCACCTGTGTGCAAGACTGCCCAGAGGGCTACTACGCCAGGGACAGCCACCTGTGCGCGTCCTGCCACATCTCTTGTAGGACCTGTGATGGGAGTCACAGCACACAGTGCCGCTCCTGCCGACCCGGTTGGTTCCAGCTGGAAAATGAGTGCCTGCTCCAATGCAGAGAGGGGTAAGAGGCTCAGCACGTGTGTTCATCTGCTTTTTGTTGCTGTAACCAAAATACCTGACAAAGGAAACTTAGAAGAGGAAAACTGTATTTTGGGTCAAGGTTTTGGTAGGTCAGTCCATGGTGGGCTCAGTCCATTGTTCTGGGCCCAGGATGAGGCAAAGCATCATGGCAGAAAGGTGTGGAGGAAGAAGGCTGCTCAATTAATGGCAGCCAGGAAGCAAAGAGAGAAGAGAAGGGCTGCAAGAAGATGAACCCTTGGTCATGCTCCCAGTGACCCATCTCCTCTAGCCACACCTCACTTCACCTCACCTGCCTACAGTTTCTACCCAGTCCATTCAAATAGGTACAGCTCTCAGAACCCAATCACTTCACCTCCATACATTCCTGCACTAATACAGGAGTTTAGGGGAGCACCTCATATCCAAACCATAACAACCCATTTCTTCAGCTAACTCTTCAATCACTCCAGATACAAAACCATTTTGCACATGTGGAAACAAAGACTCTAAACACAAATGAAGTCAGATTAAATTCTCACTACTAGTAAGGAGCAAAGGTGAGCCCACTCACAAGGATGGAAGAGAAACAGGAGACGCAGAGTGACCCAGTGAGAGAATACAAAGGGTCTGATGGTCAAATCAGACTCATGTAAGCTATAGATCTTACCCAATGCCCAGCCTCACTGATAGCACTGCCAAGGCAGAGGCAACAACACCTCCCTTCCTCAGAGAAGCCCAAGACTGCTAATGGATGTTATTTTTCTTCAGTTTTAGGATTTGTTCTGATTCAAGTTTAATATGCAGGATCTAAGTTCTGCAAATGAATCATGGATTTTACAAAAGAAACAATTTCCGTTAACATCTACATTTATACCCCATTAATTCTGCAACCTGTCAAACCTCCCATAAATCCATGAATACAGGATTAGTTATCATACACATCCTAGATACAACTGATGTATCCTTCTGGAAGCATTTCAGAGATAAAGAGTGTGTTTATCAGAAGGCCTGATAACAAGCATAATTGGAAGAGTGTAGCTGGATTACACACACACACACACACACA